CCGCCCCATCACCTCCCCAGCAGGCCTCTCAGCCCTTTTAGGAGCAGCCTCAGTGGCCGCATTCTGTCTTTCTGTGGATGGAGGAGGCCTGGTTGGCTGCTGCTACGTGACAGCCTGGAAGATGTGTCATGGATGTGCCAGTGGGAAAAGAGCAGGCCCAGCACAGGCCCCTTCCTCCAGACCATACCCCTCACCATTCTCTACAACTCTGGGTGCCAGGGCAGGTCCCCGCTGGAGACTAGCAGGACAGTGGAGGACATCAAGTCATGCTCCTCAGAGGGAGTGCAGGGAGCTCCCATTGGGCCAAAGCACCTTCCTCTGGCCAGGCCACCAGGTCATGTACCCCCAGCGAGCAGGGACCTCCAGCCGGGGCCTAGCTGGGGGCAGCCCCTGTCTACAGAGAGAGTTTGAGGGGGAGAGGACCACCCCTCTTCCAGGGTGGCCCAGGGTGGACAGTGTAGGCTGAGCCTGGGCCTGGAGGGATCTGGGCCCCTGGAGAACTTACCTGAAAGTTAGGCATGACCCTGGACCTCCAGGAACTTCCATGCTCTTACATTTCCACCTGACCAGCGTGCTGTCAGCTGTGCCCCTTCTGCAGGGAACAAGAGCAATAAGCATCACTGCCCAAAGTTGGGGCGGGGAAGAGAGCCCACGGCGGGCTGGGATCAGCACCATTGGCACAGGCCTGGGGGAATGTGAGCACCCAGCAAGCGCCATTTCAAGAGGGGGAGCTGGATGGGGAAGGGGGGGAGGATGAGAGGTGTGGGAGGAGGTCAGAGGGAACAAGAGCAAGCTCTAGGTTGTCCCTAGAATTGCCCATCTCACCGCTGTGGGACTGATCGTCCTGACTGATAGGGTCTCACAACCTCACTGAGCCTTGGGTCTCCTCGTGTCTGTTTCACAAGTGAACACAGTCAGGGTTCTACCAGAGAAGCAGAACCGTAGGAGACACAGGCACACCTCATTTTGTTGCGCTTCAGCGTGTTGCGTCTTTTACACACTGAAGGCAACCCCTTCCACCAGCAAAAATGTTGACTCATTTTATTGCTGTGGCCTGGAACCAGACCTGCAATATCTCCAGGGTGTGTGTGTAGATGTGTATTGTGGGGACTGGCTGGGCAAGTCACTACATTCCGCAGGGGGAGTGTCTTCTATCTCAGGGAAATCTCCTTTGCTCTTGAGGCCTTTTGACTGATTAGATGAAGCCCAAGATGATCAAGGGTAAGCTCCTTCCTTAAAGTCAACTGGTTGTAGATTAAACCACATCTACCTTCCCAGCAACACCTATATTAGTGTTTGTTTGAATCACCGGGGACTGTCTCCCAGCCAAGGTGACACACAACACTGACCATCAGTGGGGTGATCCTGGTGCTAGCTCACAGCTGCTGGGAGGAGGGAGTGGGGCCGTGCGTAAAGCCCGCAGCACAGGCTTCGGCTTGAGGATATCCTTGGCAAGGCAGCTCCATTGTTTGTCTGGAGCAGGCAGGTAGAGAGGCAGGGGTGTGTGTAGGGGTGGGGGGTGGGGGGGAGGAGGTTGTAGGAAATGTTTCAGACAAGGTGGCAGAACAGTTTGGGGCCTGCTTGTCTGTACCAGGTAGGAGTTGGCCCAGAGAGGTGGAGGGTGGGCAGGCCCCATGGATTCTGGGACCTGCAAGGCACAGTGTGCTGTCTGTCCACCCAAACCCACACCCAAGCAGCTGTCAAAGGAAATTTCCAGCCTAGCCTCACCCCTCCTTAAGGCCTGGCCAGGGACGGGCTGAGAGTTTTCAGGGTCTGGAAACTCCCACCGGGCCAGCGTGCTCTCAGCAGGGGCTGTGCGCCTCCTGCAGGGCCTTCAGTCTGGGTGTGGGCTCTCCTGGACTCTCCACGGTGACAGCCAGGTCTTTGGGCAGAAGCTCAGCTGTTCTCACCCAGCTAAGCCTACAACCCAGGGGTGACAACTTTCATCTAATTTGGGCCAGTTTTCTGAAAGATTCAAGTCTATATATCACACACACATTATATACACTAAACAGGCACTTTCCTACCTAGGAATGGGGATCAGGATAGCACCACCTCACAGGGTTGCTGTGAGGAGCAGGCCCAGCCCAGTGAGTGGGCCTGGTTCAAGTGCACAGGAACTGGGGGCCATTAGTCACAATATTTATGTAGAGCTGTCTTGGAGCCTACCCCGGACTGGGTGCTTTCCACACGTTATTTCGGTGTTTCATGAATAGTTAGGTTCCTGAAACCTGGAGGCTGTGGGAAGATGTGGTGAGCAGCCTGGGGTGGCGTCCCTAACCTCTAAAATGGCGTGGAACATTGCGTGTCCTGTGTTTTTTTTATAGTGAAACTGCCCCTGGCTTTCAACCAACTCAAGAAGTCTGGTTTAGTTGGACATTTAGAATTATGTCCGTGCTGTTTTAGCTTAAAAGAGGATGAGTCTTCCTGACCTTCATATAGCATCCTTCCCTCCCTCTTGTAATGAACTTTGCAAAAATGTCCCTGAATTCCTCCCAGTGTCCCACGCGATGTGAACAATTACAGGCGCCAGCGGACACCGTTGCCTCAAGGCGCCCAGGTCCTGCAGTTGCAAGGGAGAGGTCCGCGGGAGAAGGTGGGACTCAGGGAGTCGCCCCGGGGCCTTGGCATCTCCCCTGGGGTGCGCGGTGCCCGCCTGCCTGCTGCGCCTTTAAGGTCCGCTGGGGGCGTGCTGTGGGCGCTGGCG